ACTCTTTTCCTCCATCTAAGAAATCTTTCTGACGTCTCGTGTGTTTCCATCTCTCCTAGTACTGCACACATGCAGACAGAGGCATTGATATATTTTCATTCGTAGAGGTCAGTGACAAGATTGCGAGCAGGGTTGCAAAAGGTTAAGCTAAACATAGTTTCTTTGTTTTAGGTGTGTGGGGAAAAAAAAACCCTAATATCTTAACGCAGTTGCACCCGACACACATATCATAGCAATGCTAATATGTCAGCCACTTGACCTCGAAGTCATGAGACAGTGTTTGTTATCCGCACACAACCACACGCACACACACACACACATGTTGTTGCTTCGCCTGCACGCCTGGCTAAGTCATTAACAGCCGAGCAGAGAGGAGGAAGTGAAATTAGCATTTTAATTGTTTTGCTTTGAGTGGTTTTCTATCCTCTGACAGGGATTAGAGTCTCTTCTCCACTCTTAGTCGGCACCGCTGTCAACAGCTCACTCTGCTGTCGGCTACATTCCTCAAACTGTGTGCGTGTGTGTGCATGTGTGTGTGTGTGTTTGTGTTTGCGTAGGCATATGTGTTGAGGAAAGCAAAGCTGGACGGTACGCTGAGGTGGCACCCATGCTTCTTGCGTGTAATCGTTAGTCTCGAGGGATCGGCCACATTTTCCTGTCTGTCTTAGCCCAGCTGTTTTGCATTTCTCAATTGAGTGAGTGCATGTGTCTGCGCCCATCCACATATGTGCATTTGTGTCTGTGTGAGTGTTTATGCATTAAAGGGGCGGAGATAATAGAAAATTTTAATGGGAACGTAAAAATGTAATTCGTGTATCATAATTATGATCAGACAATAAAGACTGGTTGTGGACCTCAGTCATTCGGTAGGGTTTTAGAGTAGAGCCACTGCTCCTCATCAAATGAGTCAGTTGAGGTAGTTCAAGCATTTGACCAGGATGCCTCCTGGGCACCTCCTAGGTGGGGTGTTCTGTGCATGTCCCACCAAGAAGTGGCCCTAAGGCCGACCCAGGACACCCTGGATGGATTAAATCTCTTGGTGGGTTTGGGAGCACCTTCATGTCCTGCCAGAAGTAGGTGGTCCTGATTTGAAAGGGGAGGTTTAGGCATTTCTGCTTTGACTACTGCCTACTGCTAACGTCTTGAGGCAACTGTTGTTGTGATTTGGCACTACAAAAATAAAATTGAACTGCATTGAATTACTAGAACATGGGCCCAGATGGATAGATGGTTGGATAGATGGTTGGATAGATGGAGATCCCTCCTACCGAGTTCATTTTCTTATCCTCTCTCCTGTTTGTACAACTAAATCCTGTTTGACCCGTACAGCCATTAATATCATCTTTGAAGAGTAGTCCTGATTTGGTTGGATGAGTCAATAAACTAAGAAGCGTGATAAATGCACTGCTCAGAAAATGAGAGGGAAAGGAGGAGGAGGAGGGAAAGAAGAAGCTGACTTCAGCAACTCCTCTGAATTCCTGTCCTGCTGTTCTCCTCTTCCCTCTTCCTCCCAATCGCTCTTTCTTTCCAATTAAAGAAAGAGGGGCTATAAATTAATTCCCATAGAGGTAGGAAGATACTTTCTATCGACTGGTCAGAGAACAAAATGCTGAATCTACCCACATCTAATACCAAATATTGTGCACATGCTGTTCATGGAAAGCAGTGCACATGTTTGTGTATGTGTGTGGTTACAATCTTAAAGCCTTTGGGATTACAGCATTATAACAATCCACGCCGGCAATCCTATCGCATCATCACCCTGAAATAGATTTAGAGCCACTTGGTGGCGGGATGACACTCTGTCCCTGAAGTGCGGTGTATACTTCTTTGTATACTTTTTTCTTAAAGCCCTTGTTTCATCTACCAGTCCTTCTTTTGTCATTTCACACTTGTTCCGCTTTGTTGTTCTTTCTATTCCATCATCATCTTTCTTTATTTTTGTTTCTTTAAAGGTCTTGCTCTTTGTACCAACATGTCTTTTTCTTCATTCGTTTCATATTTGTCTCTTTGTGTTACACTTTTTCTACCCACACAAACCTACACACACACACACACACATATTCAAGGGCTATAATAAACCAGTACCTGGATGAATAACAGATAGAGTATGATAAAAGAATAAAGTAAAACCGGGGTCATGGCTTTTACACCAAGCACATTCTCTGTGCCAGTCTCACGGGGAGAGTTATCTTTGTGGCAAGTTGCATTATGGGAGAATGAGTTCCTAATAGCATGGAGAAACCCATTCAGTCATAAAATAGTATCTGTCACTCCTGTCAGACAAAATTATGTCAGGAAAATGGATTCTGCTCTCCCTCTCCTACACCCTACGCTTGCTCCGAATGTGTGCATGCGTGCGGGTGCACGTGCACGCCGCCATTTGTGCGCGAAAAATGAGGGCATAGAGAAAGAGGATGAAAGAGTGGAAAATCGAAAAGAAACGGAATCCATTAATTTAGACATATTTCTTTAAAGTGCAGCTCTTTCACAAAGGCTCAGAGAATAGCGACGCCTGAATCGAAGACGCATGTGCGTATTTGTGTGTCAACTTGCAAGTGTGGGTGCATGCACGTGGGCTTTTCTGTGCGTCTGCTCTCCATATTGTGATTCTCCAAGCACAAATCCCATGCTGTCTGTAATAATTATTTTGCGAACTGGCTGCTAACGCCACAGCAGTTCCTGAAGCAGTTTACGCACGCCATCGACTCAGCAGGAATAAAATATAACATCCTGGTTCTGATCGGTAAATACACTTTTCTCGTGCTGTTGATGAAGTCATGCTTTAATTCAGCAAACAATTATAATGCTGTAGACTTTAATAAATAATAAAAGGGCAATATACAAACAGAAAATGTAATATATTTTGATCAAATAAGAGGTGCATGGATCTAGATTTGGATATGTAGTAAGTAAGGATTATGTTTCCTTGTACATTTGTTGCATCTGTAGTTTGAAGCAGTTAATATTTTTAGACTTTGAATGTTTCAAAATTAATCAATTAGGAAAAAATGTAACTAGGAAATGGTAACTTTAATTATTTAAATGTTTTATTTACTGTGATTTTAGCTAATTTGTGATGAATGCCTAGTTTTATTTGATCAAATCGCATCAGGCAGAACATGAAAAAGTGAAAGTCATTCACAAAGAACCTGCTTAGCAACAGTAATAAGGTTATAAACTCAGATTCATAATTATAGAATGAAATGTAAAAGATCTCTTCATAGATGTTGTGTTTTAGACATTTTTTCAAATTTATATTAAGTGAAATAAATATTTTAACACCCTGTGATGAATCGCGTTACTTATATGTGTTAAACTAGTTATGAAGCAATTATAAAGTTATACACTAGTATTCAAGGGGCCAGACATTCTTGACATTTTTCAAGTGCTCTAGACCAACAGTTCTCCAGACTTTTTCCACTCATTTTCAGTCCAGACCTTTTACTTGACCATTTTCAGAACAAAGTGCTTTTGTTTTTGCCCTCTGAATTATTCAAGTAAAGGCACCTAACTCCAGGGAACCAATTTTGTGTCTACATAAAGAATTTTACATTTTAGCTTTAAGCACTTTGTTACTTGTAGCCTGTCACAAAAGCAAATAATTTGTCATTTATTTAGTTGAGTCCATGAATGTCAAAGATAACACAGGTTGACAGGCATTAAGTAGTATTTTTACACCAACAAGGTGATTCTTTAAGAACAATTAGTGTACCTTGTTCCTAAAAATAAAAATTTAAAAATTCAATAAATGAATAAAATTGGAGGAAACTGGAGAAGTGGAGAACAACAGTGACAGGCACAAAACACTGAGTATCTACAGCCATCTATAAAGTATAGTGGAGGTAGTGTCATCATTTGGGGCTTCATTTCAGCCAGTGGTGTTCGGGATATGCAGAAGAATATGCAGAAAATACCTCCTCAGAGACCGGACATCAACACTATTGAAGCAGTGTGGGATCATCTAAAGAAGAGCTTTGAGTGTCCTTTAATAAGCCTGGAGGACCATTCCTGAAGACTACTTAAAGAAATTACAAGACAGTTGCCTAAGAGTTCAAACTATGAGGAAGAATAAATGTGCTGATACCAAATAATGACATATAAGCTCTTTAGACGCAGCTGTCATTTATCCCTTGAATTAGGTGGCTTTTCATGCTTGAATTATTCATAAATCAACAAAAACACAAACACACAACTCCTCTCAAATTCATCAGGTACAAGGACTGGACTGAAAATGAGAGAAGAAACAGCAAATGCCCAAAGGATGTCCATGTACCCATTCAAATCTTTTTTTAGCCTCAGAGTGATTATTTTCTGTCCCATTCAAATATTTGTCGCCTGGCAAACTGTTCGCTGATGGGCTGTAGTTACATCGTAAGGTTTTAAAAACCTTAAAGAGCTTTGAATAGTCGTAATAAAAACCCAGAGAGGCCGACAGTGATCACTGACTATTTTTAGGGGCTCGTTTAGATTAAATAGAAAAAGATACAAAGCATTAAAACGTGCTAAAACAACAACGGCATTAATTAACGCAGCGTAGTTTGGACCTGGAAGCAGGGTTAATACATCATCACTTAACAACCGGATTGCTCAAGATCACATGATCTGAGTCTGGCTCCTTGGAAGCAAAATGAGGGGTGACACAAGACAGTAGTACACAAACTGTACTACTGTATATGAATATGGCAAGTCCTTTCTGGTTGGTTCCAAGTTTGCTGATATCATTTCAGACTAAAAGAACCAGTTTAAGATTACTTAATTTGCAGAAAACACTAGCTTTTATGTTTTACTTGTAATTAATTTAGCCTAATATTGCTAGTGGGTAAACTGCACCGAGTACACTTTTTAAATTATTATTTTTTCCCCTTAGGACAAACTGATTAGTTGAAAAATTGGAACCATTTTAGTCAACCAAGACTTTGTTTTTTCTTTGTCTAAAGCTCTGACGCAAATCCCCCCAAAAAACTCCATATAAGCTCCATCCTCATTATCTAGGCAAATATACCCCCATGACTTCCTGCAAAATGTGCTTCATTTGAATTAAATAGTTACATAACCCTTAGTAAATAAATAAACCCAAACACCACACGCACATCTAACCACACAGGTGCAATGATTTTAAAGGTAGCTCTTCTCTAAACTTAAAGGGAAAAAAAAGGAAAAGACACATCAGCTAACCAATGTGGGTGTGCGCTGCAGCGAGGAGCAGGTGTGCTCAAAGAAAGGGAACTCATACACATGCTGGTGGCTCATTTATACCTTTCCTCTCCTCCTTTTGCTTCTTTCCTTTTCTCTTTCTCTCTCTTTGGGTCTCCTTTTCTTGCGATCATTTGCTCTCAATATTCTCTCCCATCTGTCTCTGTCTCTTGTTCGTCTTGATACCGTTCCATACAGCACTCCTCTCCCTGTCTCTCCTGTGCCTCAGGGGGACACATTTTATATTTTTAGTGCATATCCATATTTTAGTGCAGTTACTGAATTTTTACCTCTTGATCATCGCAGGTCTCTCTCTGTGTGCCGCTGCTTTCTGGCGCATGGGTGGGACAGCAGCACCAGAGAGAGAAAGTGTGTGTGTGTGTGAGAAAGAGAGGGAGACAGAAAGAGAAAGAAAGAGAGAAGCTCCCAATTATGTTTCCACTTTGGGTCTCGGTGTGTCTCTTGCTTTCTGTCGCTTTCTCTGAACCACAGTACCATGTGGTGCTGATCAATTTCCCAGGCTGTGTATTAAAAACACCACACTCTTCCTCTCCTCTGCACATCAACAAAAGGTATTTTGCATGCATGCATCTGTGTTTGTGTGTGAGTAGATATAAAATATGAAGCAGCTAGTCTCAAAGATCGGGTGGAGACTCTACAGATTGCGGCAAACTGAACTGCAAACTGTAAGTCACAGACACACACATATACGCATGGGTCTGACTTGAATGACAATTGCATTCGTTGCTGCACGAGTCTCCCGAAAAGTGTTTCTGTCAGTAGCCAGTGTTGACGAGTCAAAATGCACACGTGCATGCACGTGAACCCGCGCCACCCTCCGGTATCAGAGGTCTCAGCTGTATTTTGAGGCCCTATCAGAGGGGAGAAAAACAACACCAGAGTCTACAAATGATCTGAAGTGGTGATGAAAGGAAAGGAGGGGAGGTAAGAGAAGATGGAAGAAGACAGATGAGGTAAAGAAGAAGGGAAAGAAGATCAAAGGTGGCAAACAGCCGTAAAGAGGAGAATGAAGAGTGTGAGGAGACACATGCACAGGGAGTGACAAAATCAAATCAATGCAAAGAAAAGAAAATGACCATGAAACACAAAATTATCCATCTTCCCTTTACAATTCCCTCCAATTCCTCTCATTTCCCCATCCTTCTCCCAAACTTGTCCTCTCAGTCTCACCCATTCTAACATATGAGCTATGGGGGCATTAAATATGAGGTATTTAAGTAAGTACCAGGGAGTCAGATGTAGGTATAAAGATACATGACTGCCATTTAAAGTCCATTAAAATGGCACGAATGCTCAGCCTTTCATAGTGGCCATTCTTTATAGAAGCCACCTAACATTAACCAGTTACAGCAATCCATAACCTCCTCAGTAAATGAGCTCATTGATCAACTGAGTGCTGTATGATGACACATAGGTGGCATTTTCAATACTGTGCTCGTGGCTGGTTTTGTTTTCGTGTTGCATGACTCAGCGGTGACCTCTAAGTCAAAGATGGTGGTTGAATGTCATTTTCTTTCATTTTGATTTAAGTCCTACTGAGTGACTTTAGTCAAGCAATTAACATGTTTGCCAAAGATCCCGAGTTTGAGACCCGAAACAGGTACAAATTCTTAGAAGGACTCTGATATAAAAATCTGCCAAATCCAATATTTAGATCCATCCACTGTTGTGACCCTCCCACAAACAGGGGAGCAACAAAAACAAGCTTCTTCTTTTAATAATTATCTTTTAAGCTTTTAGTCAAGGAGAAAATATGGACAATTGGAAATGCCCTTATTTTATTAAAGAAATGCATATTTATTGAACATATGGAACAAATCATTATAAATCAAGGCTACCTGTTTTCAGCAACCATGACAATCTGATGGCGCACTGTTACCTAATGCAAGTTTATCATATTAAAATGCTCAGCAAAGCTGAAAACTATGCTGGTTATTAAATAAGGAATCGGGCTGGCTGCCTGGCTTCTGGAGCACCGCTAAAATGTCCCTAGAGACATTTTTTTCCCCTCCAAACTCATATTCTTTTTCAAAGAAGTGAAAGCTTTTCAGTGCAGGATTCTTTAGATATAGATCCTACCTTCTCCCACTCTCTCTCCTTGTTAAGAACAATGACCACCAGCTTTGGGTTTTCCTGGTAGCCGTCTTCTGTGAAGGACAAGTCTCTGCCATCCCACGTCACATTCATCATGTATCTGAGAATGAAAGGAGCAGAAGATGAGATATAGTGGGGCAAAGGGTGGTCAGAGAGTTGGGGAGGGGGGGTTATGGGAAAAACCAGTTATTAACAAAAGAAATGAAATTAGTTATTTTGTGAGAAAAAGAGAAAAGGAAATTGAATTACATTAGCATGTGAAATATTCCATTTACAATCTACTATTATTATTATTACCTTTTTGCAATATTCAGGCTCTTGTAGTGAAAGTTATAAAGTCACATTTGATCATTATGGACTGGATTATGATTGTATTTTAGAACTAAAGAAACTGAACAGTCGAAGCATAAATGAGAACCATATGTCATACACACACACACACACACACACACACACACACA